GCAGCGCCGGCCATGCCGTACCGCGCCCCGCGTGCGGCCTCCCCGGTCCGGCGGCGCAGCACAATGGCCCCTTGTGCAAAGGAACAGGCCGCTCCGATAAGCGGGGCAGGTCCACAGATACGGCCACGGGTTGCCAACACCGTGCCGCGCCGCTAATTACCGGCTGGCTCCCATCAGTGCCTGTGCGCGAGCCGGCTCGGCGGCTCCCACCAGTGCCGGAGTCGCATTCCTGGGACCGGCCCCGGCCTGCCCGCCTGATCCGCTGAGGCGATTAGAGGGCCCAGCCCCACGCCCCGTACCGTGGGGGCTGCCCCACGGGGTCCGCGCACCCCAGGACCCACCGCCGGCACCGGGTGGGCCGGGAGGCGAGGCTGGGCTGGTGGCGGGTTGAGCAAGGTGGGAAGTGAGGCAACGCCGCCGCCAGCCCTTCCGCAACTGGGGTGTCCCCGTCCTGGGCAGCCTGTCCACAGAGGGACATCCCCGTCCGCAGCACGGACCCAAAAGCCAGTGGCAGAGATGGGATGGGGAGTGGGGGAGCGCCGGGGCAGCAGGGTCCGGCCAGAGCCCAGCTGCCTGCTCCCCTGTGGCAGTGCTGCTGGCAGCACTGTGCCTCCTCACACCACGTCACCCGGGTTGGGGACAGGTCAGCAGCGGCAGTGCCAGGAGCAGGTCCCCGATGCAGGATCAGCACACACACACACACACGTGTGTGTCACGTGCATTTGTGCCCACAGCCGGAGGTGAGGCTGGCGGTGCCACGTCTGGTCAGGAGCCGGAGCCATATCTGCAGCCCCGGTTCCCGGTGCTGGAGAAGGCACCGCGTCCCTTGCCTCCCTCCCACTGGCAGCTGCCCCCCGGGAACTGCTTGTGCCCAATTTCCAGGTGAAATTGCAGCAGGGTGAGCCTGGCGCAGGTCAGGCTGGGCCCATCATGCCAGGCAGACGTGCCCCATGCTCCCCAGCCTGCCCGGCACAGCGAGGCTGCGTGCCGGCCCCACAGAAAGGTGGAGTGAGGGGCCCTGGCCATGCAGCCCCCCTGCCCCACAGCCCAGCCCAGGGATGAGGACGGCTGCCCCAGGGGTCTCTGTGCCCCCCAGGCCTGTCGTCCCCCCCTGTTCTACCACTGCCATCTTTACCCACTGCCAGCAGTGATGCTGCAGCAGCTCCCAGCTCCCCGGCAGGCACAGGAGCATCCCTGGGCTCCTCAGCCAGTGCTGGGGACACCGGCACGGGCCACCCTGCCCTGCTGTGGGCACTTGCCGCAGCCTGTCCTGCTGCAGCACGGGGTCCTGAAGCACCTGAGCAGGGGAGGTGCACGGCCACGGTGCTCAGCCACCATGGGGTGACACTCCCTGCCCACAGGCTGGCAGGATGGGCTCCCCCCATTGCCACCAGCTGCCATCAGAAGCACAGCCTGCAGGCTTTGCCCAGGCTAAAGCCAGCGCCTACGACGGCTCCTTGTCCACAGCCGGCTCCCCCAGGCCTGTGCCGCAGTGGCAGAGGGGAGCAGAGCCCTGTCCCCGTGTGCCATTCAGACCCGCTGCCTGCACAGACCCTCACCACGGCAGGGACTGCCCGGAACCCAGGCTCCCGCCGGGATGGCTTCCTCAGGCACAGCCCAGCCTGCGCCAGCAGAAGGGAGAGGATGATCTGGCACAGCCACACTCACCGCGCTGCTCCTTGGGGCTTCCATGTCCCAGGTGTGGGAGCCCAGAGCCGGCCCCAGCAGAGCCGGTCCGGCACCGTCACTGCCCCTGCGGCTGCACCAGCACCCGCGCCCCCATGGGCAGCACCCGAGGCAGAGCTGCATCCGCACCCCGATGGTGCCCAGGTGCCGCTGCACCACCCGGCAGCTCCAGCACGCGCTGCCGGCACCCATGGTGGCCGTACACCAGCCGTGCACCGGCCTCCCACCTGCACGGGCATAGCACAAGCCCCAGCCCCAGCTCCCTGCACCCCAAAATGGGGAGCAGCGCCAAGGGGGGCCTCAGTGGCATGTTCAAGCTCCCCTGCCTGTCCACCAAGGACCAGAGACCACCCAGAGCCCCCAGCAGTCCCTTGCTTCCCGGGCAGCACCCATGCCCAAGGACCGGAAGCTGCCGAAGGCGGGGGGCTCCAGGCAGGCGGTGCAGCCACCCCTGCGCAGCCAGGGAGCCCAGCGCCAGTCCCCCCACCCGGCTCCACGGGGTCTGCACGGCACAGGCCAGCTGCTCCCGCTCCCTCCTGCCCAGCTCACTTGGCTGCTCCAGGAGACCCCCGGGAGATCCCACCGCCCTGAGCGCCTCCCAGATGCCCACCTGGCAGAGGGGGGCTGGGGTCCTGCACCCCCCTCATTGCCACGGCAGCCACCGTGGGACACAGCTGGACCAGGACAACGCCACCCGTGGCACGGCTCCCAACCCGGCAGAGGTTTTCTAGACACTGCAACTTTAGAAGCCGCCACCAAAAATATCCTTCCCCCAACCCCCCCCCCCATGACCTCGAAACCGCCGGATCCGGGAGATGAATCACGGCACTGCGCGGCTCCACGCCCACGCCGGTGCCACCGCCGCACCCGGGGACCGGCCAGGAGGGGGGGATGGCAGGCAGGGCAGGCACAACAGCCCCGGGCAGGGGCTGCCCCACGGACCCCGCACGATGTGGCCTGGCAGCATGCTCCCTCCCACCACAGCTGCCAGCCCCCCACCACCCCACCGCCACGGCACGCTCGGCGCAGCCCCGGAGAGGCCAGGACCCCCCATTTGGCACCAGACCCCCGTGAGAGGCTCCTGCTGCCCCAGCCGGCGGTCCCCACTGCTGTCCCCATGCCAGCCCTGGGAAGGGGCAGGCACAGCTGCCTCCCCCCCACGGACCCACTGCCCTCATGCCGCGGTGCGGGGCTCCGTGTGCCACCCTGGGGACACGTGCCAGCACTGACCCCTTGATCCCTGGTGGCTGCCATGGGGGTCCTGGGGCCCCGGGGAGATCCGGGCACAGGCCTCCACGCTGTCACCCATGGCAGGGCTGGGGGCCATACACCCACCCACCCACGGCTGCCCGGGGACCGGGGAGGTGTGAGCCCAGCTGCACCGCTCCCCGTCCCCCACCGGCCTCGGGATGGGCAGGCGGCTCTGCCCCACTCACCCCATCGCCCACCAACGCAGCAAGGCTGCGGCTCCAGCTGCACTCCCGCTGCTGCCGGCTTCCCACGGAGGCTGCCGGGTGTCTGTCCGGCCGGAGTGTGTCCCTCGGGATGGGGACCTGCACCAGCAGGAGACGAAGAGGGGCCCCCGGCCAGCGCGGCCGCTCCGGCTTCCCTCTCCCGTGGGCTGAGCTCCTGCCTTCTGCTGTGGGGCCGGAGCAGGGCCGGGGGCAGCGGGCAGCCGCTCTCTGCCCCACTGTGCCGTGAGCTGCCGAGCACCGGCCGCTGCCGGGAGCTTTTATACCGGCACAGAAGAAAAAAATCAGCAGCGGCGGCGGCAGCAGCGAGAGTCTTTGTTTCAGCAAGCCTGCACCAGGCCACTTTATCCAAACAGAGCAGCGGTGCCAAGTCCCAGAACCGCTCCTCGGGCAGCCCCACCTCTGGGCTGCGGCTCCCGCTGGGCACGGGGGCAGCCAGCGGCGAGTGCCGGCGGCCGGGGACAGGCAAGCGCCAACGGAGAGGCCGCGCTCCTGCCCCATGGAGCAGCCGGCCCAGGGGGTCAGGGGGGTCACAGGGGAGGGACGTGATGGGGGACACAACCCCACAGCCCCATGAGCGCAGGCAGGAGCGGGCGCCAGGGGCTTCGCCTGCGCAGGCACGGGGCTCAGGGTCCTGCAAGGGGACAGGCAGCAAGACACGCTGGGCGAGGGCTGTGGGGCAGGTAGATGTGGGGCAGAGAGCGAGGAGGACCTGGGGGCAGCTCATGTGTCCCCGCCAGCCTTGGCGCCCCTAGCAAGCCCCAGCGCGGCGTCCTCGGGCAGCCAGCCTGGTCCCTGCGGCCACCCGGTCCCCTCTAATGACAGGGCTGCACTTGAGAGGGCTGCACAGAGGACGGCAGCCAGACCCCCCCCTCACCCCGCAGCTCAGCACGGGGACCCAGCCAGGCAGCGGCTCCCACGGCCCCCTCCCTTCTGCTGGCCGGGCCAGCATCCCCGGGCAGGGGGTCACTGCTGCAGGGCTGAGCTGGACCACCCCCCATCCCGTCACTAGGATGTTGCAGGGGACGTCCTAGGGATAGGATGGGGGACGGTCCTGCCACCCCTGTCCCCTGCAACATCCCTGCCTGCCCTGGGGACCCCTGAGCCCACCCTGCAGCACTCTCACTGCTCTTGCTGCAGCGGTGTGGAGCAAAGCAGGGCAGGGAGAGACAGCAAGCCACGGGGTGTCCCTTATCGGTGCAAGGACCCCCCCAAGAGGTGGCCTCGCCATATGTCTTCACCTACAGACACCGACAGCAGCGTCCCTCAGGAGGGCATGTGGCCGGGCAGGACCCAGCACCTGCCAGGTACAGGCAGGAGGGCAGCGGGCAGCGAGGGAGGGGGCAGCCGGAGTCCTCCCTCAGCAGCGCAGGGCAGCACCCAGGGGGCTGGGGGGCAGCGAAGGGGCATGGGGCAGAGCCCACCCGGCGCAGCCCCTGCCTGGGCTCGGGGCCAGCCCTGCTCCTGGCCCCCGGTCCTGGAGGAGGCCAGGCCCCGCGGGGGCCGGGGCGGAAGGGCTGCCTGCGGGGAGGCGCAGGCACCGGTGCCAGGAGGGTTGTTAGGGCGATCAAATCCCGCGCTCCTGGCAGCTGCTTGAAGCGGTGCAGCGACCCCGAAGGGCACGACAGCGGGGCCGCGTGGCCCCCACCAGCCTCAGGGCTGATCCCCGGTAGGACCCCACAGCCCATGCCCAAAGCCGCTGCATGGGGGGGGACAGACCCCTCCCTGCAGCCCTGGGAACCACCACCAAGCCGCCGACGCAATTCCCCGCTGGAGCAATCCTGTCTCCTGACATCAGATCAGAGACCAGGGGGTCGCTCCAGCAGGAGGGGTGTGGGGCAGCCCCGTTTGCCCCTGGGGACCGGCTCTGCCCGCCTCCCTGCCTGCCCCAAGTGGCTCAGGGGCAGCCACAGGCGCCGTGACCCCCCAGACCTGCTGCTCCCCCCACCCCAGGGACCTGACTCAGGGCAGCGCAGTCCCTGCTCTGGGGCCGTGGGAGCCTACACCAGCGTTGAGTGGGAGAGCAGCAGGGCTGGACCCGTGCCTGGCGTTGCTCAACCCCTGGCAGCGTTTCGCAAGCGGGCAGCACCGCTCACCACCCAGCCCAGCACATGGCGGCTCCTGGCAAGCGCCGCGCGGGTGTGAACCCCTCAGCGGCAGCTCTGCACCGCGAGGCAGGGCCGCCTGCAGGGATGTGCCGGGATGGGGCAGAGCCCCAGGACGATCCCTCTGCTCAGAGGGAGCTGGTGGGTGCAGGATGGCTGCAGCCAGCCAGCCAATGGGGCCGCAGACACAGGGTCCGCTCCCCAGGCCCCTGTTTCTCACCTGCTGAGGGTCGCCGGTGGGTTCAGGCGCTGGGAGGGAAGGGCATGGAGCTGCCTCGTGTCGTTCCGGCACCCGCTGGAAAATAAAAAGACACCAAGGGCTGAAGCACGGCAGCAGCATGATCCCACCTCCCGCGGCATCCTGGGGCAATTGCCACCCCGACAGCTGGGTCCGGCGCAGGCACGCTGCCAGGGCCACATGGGAATGCCCTCGCACGCTGGTCTGGCCCCGGCAGTGCAGCTGGCAGGGACAGCGGGGTGGCGGGAAGGGACCGAGGTGTGATGCCCCAGCCGGCAGAGCTGCGGGACCTGGGTGCGAGTTGGCAGGAGCGGGGTCTGGGGGGGGTCCGGGGGGGGATGCCAGCAGGTGGGGGTGCTGCTTCCACCCCAGCCAAAGGAGCTGGGGGACCCAGGAGGGTGCACCGGGCAGCACGGAGCCCCACAGCCCACTGCCCAGGACACAGCACGGGGTCCCCCACACCCGGCTCCCCCCATCCTGTGGCTGGGCCCCACTGGGGGGTCCCCGAAGTGGCAGCCCGGGGGCAGCGGGGCCGCGGCCGGGCCGGGACTCGGCACCCCGGGAGA